GGAAAGCGTGCGACGAGAGAGGATAAGCTAATATGGGTGCGCGGGGCGAGCGATCAAGCGGGCGAGGTATAGCTAGAGGCACAGTAAGTAGTAGTAGATGGAGAGCGAACGGTGGCTGACGGTCTGTGAGCGAGGCTGGCTGCTGGAACACACACACTGATACACTCGTAGAGAATCTGTCGATTTGCTGTTGAAAGATTTTTAAGGCAACTGTAGCACACAGATACACGTGCAGAGAATCTGTCGATTCATCCACCACCCCGCACACTGCTTCTGAAACTAGCGCTGAGAAGCTTCCTCCTACCCTACCCTCTCAACCGTCGCGCGCGACGGAAGGCAAAGGCGTACAGGGGAAATCGGACGTCGTGCGCGGGATGAGCGTGGATAGAGGTGGGACCCACCCATGGTCTGTGATGCACGACGACACAGACCACATGCAGTGTGACGTCGGGTCCGGTGTAAGTTAGCGGGTATGTGAGCTAGCCGTGGTCCGTCGCCTCATCGCATGCCATTGCGCGAGGCTACTGGTGGGTAGAATGACTGAGGAATGCGGATGTGCGTAGCCGTCCAGTTCTGATGGCGGTGGGAGAGGCAGTCAACAAGATGGTGGGAGGAATGCAGAGGACAGGGTGCTGCAGGGCAGGGAGCAGATGCTCGAGAGTTTTGGGGGGAGGTGAGGTCAGGTCAGGTGAGGTTGCGCAATGCACACACATCCATGGCTTTGCCGGGCTGGGAGAAGCCCAAGGGGAGCAAGAGCTCAACCAATCACTGTCGCACGTTACACTGTTCTGTCGTTTTTTCGTTAGCACGTGACAACAGTAGGTTCGAGCACTGTCTTTTACATCGTGCAGGCGATAGAGCTGTGGCAGAGGCACGTTGGCGACGTCGACTTTTCGCAAAGCTGCAGATTGTTCTTGTATGGTCACAGAACTTCGCGAAGACTTCTCAATTTCAGGAACCAGTGAGGGCTTCGATTTTCGTTGGTTGAACCGACAAGACCTGCAACTGCTTTGGACAGTAACGGGCAGTTCTCCTGCGACAGCACAAAATAGAGGCACAAAATAGAGATCGCAGAGCTGGGTGTCACTGTAAAGGTCGCGAGGAAATAATCCATAACTTTACAGATCGGGCAACGTAAAAGCGGTGGAAGGTCCGACTGTTCCCAGAAAAAAACAGTGGTGAAGGCGGTGCGCTGCAGGTGATTGCTGCGACAGAGAACGCTCAGGTAACCAGTCTCAGGTCATCACCCTGTTCGCACCTGAGAGTCGCAGCACCAGCAGCAGCACTTCCCTGTTTCCCGATTATGTGCGTAGCTGTTTGGCAAAATAGATAGGAAACCAAGCTTTCTACAATGCTTGTGTCGCTTTCGCGTTAGCCTATACAGTATAATTTCATCCCGCTGCCTCGCCTCACCCCCCAAGCCATCCCCAGCCCCCCCATCGTCAGTCCATGCCAAGCCAAGTCACTCGCCAGTCCACGGCATCCCCAACACCACCCCCATCCCATCCATCCCTCTGGCATGCCATGCCATGTTTGGCGTGTGCCTCATCTGGGCAATGGCAAGCTAGCTATTTCCCCATCACCACCATCCATGCCTCTCTCCCACCCCCCATCGAACGCCTGATTTGGCGCGGATACACGAACACACGCACCCGCAATAGCACAGGATACAGGGTTTAGCCGACCATACAGCAAGCAATCATGTCGTGCAAGGCTCGGCTCAGGTCAATATAGCCCTGCCATCGGTCGCACTCGTCTAGTCTCGTCACGTCACCTTTAAAGCTGCGGTCTACATACATAATTGCCTTTTTGGGGTACAATTAGCGTGGACACCCTAGGACACACTCTGATTAGCTTGCGAAGTGACCCTTGTCCTGAAATGGGGGTGCGAAGGGGTCAAACAAGACTGGCGAATCCCGCCAGTTTCGTGAAAAAAACTCGGGTGGGAGAACAACCCTCGGCGAATCCTCAAACGTTTCGAGCGGTTTAGGGTTTGGCTAAACTGATGAGCCAATCCTGAGAGTGCGAATTTTCAGGGGGGGGTTGCGGAGTTCACAAATCCTCGCCACTGAAGCTCACAGCAACCTGGTTTTCAAGTGATAAACTCAGGCCTGCCGCGTGAGGTATGTAGGCCGCAGCTTTAAAGTCGGCTGTCGGCACGCAATGCCGCTCCGTGTGCCTCTGGCTGGCGTGACTTAGAAGACAGTCAAGCCGTTCCTCCACACACCACATTTCTAGGTCAATGAAGCCATCACTGATATAATCACCGCAATATGTAAGCACTGAAGATGGCGCATATCGCCTCTGATCGCGGCGCTCGCGCGCATTCCCGATCCTTCTACAACTCAGAAAGAGATAATCACAGAGACCACCGAGATCACCGCGATAATCACACAAGCGCGCGCTTCACGTACGAGCACCCGGCTCCCTCCAAGACCTGTTTTCGGCCAGGCTATTTCCGTCCATTCCCCTCGTCCCCACCAAGTGCGTGTTGATTCGACTGGCGTGTCGAGGGTATTAGCGGGGTTTGACAGTGTGCAGCGGGGTTCTGGGTTGTCGCCAACAGCGGGGCACCTTTTTTTCTGTGTTCGCTTGTGATAGATTTTTTTTCCCCGTTTAGCTGATCATTTCTGCTGCATTGCTCAAAACTACCCGCTACCCGCTCCCAACCCTCATATCCACTCTCCCTCTTCCAACCCCCACCCGTTCTTCCACCATCACCACCCCCCCTTCTCACGCTCCCCCACCCTCTCTCCGCTTCCCCCTTCCTCTCCCCTCCCCCAGCCCTCAAAAGCCGCGACTTTTCCCCGCAGCGGGGACAGGACGGGGGAAGGGGAGATGCGGGGGCTGAGAGGGAGCTCACGCGGGATTCCGTTAGGGGGAGGGCGGGGGAAGCGGGGTGCGGGAATAGAGAGGAGGGCGGAAGGCGGTGCCGCTCCAGTAGCCCCCCCCGGGATGATGGGGGGGAAAATGTGCGCCGGCGGAAGTCCTGGGGGGACGGGCGGGAAGACTGGGGGGGGGGCCGAGGGGGAAGAGGGGGAGGAGACAATGCGGCATGGGGGAGGGGGGTTGGGGAGCGGGGCGCTAAGGGCTTTGAGGGGATGGGTGGCGGTGGTGACGGGAGGGGTGACAGGGCAAGGGTTGATAGTAGCGGGAGGGGAGGAACAGGAAGAGGTGATTATAACGGGAAGGGCGGAAGATGTGATAATTTGGGGAGGACGGCTGCGTACAGCGGGAGGGGCGAGGGGCACGGGGGCTGGGCAGGCGGAGGCAGGGGCATGCCTGGCGGCGTCCGCGGAAGAGGAGGCGCTGCCCACAGCGGCGGGCCCAGCAGCGGGCGCAGCGGCAGCGGCAGAAGCTCCGCGGACAACGCTGGCAGCAGCGGCGGCGGCGGCGGCGGCGGTGGCGGCGCCTTCCCTCGTGAATTTCATGATTCGCGGGAATTTCAGCAGAATGCAATGATGATTCACAACGTGATTGAGCGAGAGAGGCGCAACGGAGGGAGGGGTGGGGGTCGGTCTGACGGGCAGGCGCGCGGAAACGGGGGAGAGGTAGAGGCGCGCCGAGCTGCGGGCAACGGCACCTTGGACACTCCATGGGGGGAGCGCGAGAAGCGCGAGGGGCGGGATGGCATGGGGGAGCGCGAGAAGCGCGAAGGGCAGGATGGGTGGGAGGGGCGCGAGGGGCGCGAGGGGCGTGAGGGGCGCGAGGGGCGGGAGGGCATGGGGCGGAGGCAGGATGGCGGGGGTTACGAGGGGACGCTGCGAGATCGTGCAAGGGGTGAGGGCCTGGAGAGGCAGGGCGCCGCTGCTGGTGCTGATTTCGCCGCCCTGACCTGGGTGCACGAGGACGGGCTCTACCAGAGACCCGAGGCGTACTTTGTGGTGGATGAGGCCCCGCTGGCGCGAGGGCGGGGGGCGGGGGAGCAGGGGCTGCGCGGGAGGGAGAGGGAGAGGGAGAGGGGGAGAGGAAGGGGGAGGGGGATGGGGTTGGTGATGGGGAGGGGGATGGGGACGAAGTATGGCGCTGTAGCGGTGAGAGAGGGCTGGAGGCATAGGGATGATAGGGAGATGGAACAGGGGAGGAAGGGATATGAAGAGGAGTTGTGTGGAGCAGGGCGTGAGAGGAAGCTGAGTGAAGGGAGGGAGCAGGAGGAGCAGAGAGGAGTGAGGCAGTTTGGCAACAGCAACAGAGAACATGACAAGGGGAGGCATGATGTGAGGTATGAGAGGAGGTTTGTAGAGGGGCATGAGGAGCCGAGGGATGGTGAGAAGAGGGAGAATGGCACGAGGGGCCACACGCCGGCACACATGCCGGCACACATGCCCATGCCCATGCACACGCACGATGATTCTGAAGGCGCGGAGAGGATGCCGGGCACTGGTGCTGGTGGTGGTGGTGGTGATGGTGCAGTGGGGGGCAGCAGGGGTGAGAATGGAGCCGAGAGAATGGAGGAGGATGGAGAAAGAGAAGTGGAGAAGGTGGTGGGGGAAGAGGGGAGGGGTGGAGGGAGGAGAAAGGGAGGGGAAGAAGGCCGGGAAGAAGCAGGAGATGAAGCACGCGCACCGCACACCACCTCACCGCACACCACCACGCCGCAGACAGACGTGCCGCACACCACCGTGGTTGCAGACCCGGCACTCTCCTCTGCTGCTGCTCCTCCCCAGCCTCCCCCCAAGCTCATTCCTGTGCGCATCCGCTCTCCCTTACCTGACTTAAGTGAACGATTGGACTACACCGTCCGCCCACCCCCAAGAGCAGCACTGCCGCACACAAGACGAGCCGGTAGCAAGAGCAGGAGCAGGGGCAGGGGCAGCTCAGGAAGGTATGGAGAGAGGGATGACGAAGAAGATCTGGAGGAAGAAGACTGGGACGAAGAGGGAGAGGGAGAGGAGGAGGAGGAGGAAGAGGAGGCGGCGGCGAGGGAGAGAGTGAGAACGATCCAGCAGGGGCTGGTGCGGAAGCTGCAGCGGTTTGCGAGCGAGGGCGTGTTCACTAACGAAACGAGCCCGAGCCATTTGTGGAGAAGGGCACGTCAGGACCCGGAGGTGGTGCAGTGGATGAAGGAGCGTGCGCCCGTGTGCGGGCTGGGGCACGTGTTGGGCGTGCCTGTGGGCATGCGGTTTCGGTCGCGGGAGGAGATGCAGGTGCTGGGCGTGAATTGCAGATTCAAATACAAGGTGGGCTGGGTGGTGCGGAACAGCTGGGCTTTGGGGGGGGGCGGGGGAGCAAAAGGGAGAGGGGAAGGGGCAGGTGGGAGAGGGGCAGGGTGTAGAGGTGGGAAAGGAGTGCCTGTGGCGACGTGCGTTGTGCATAAGGTGGAAAGGGGTCGAGGTGGTGGTGGTGGTAATGGCTTCTTCGGGGGCGTGCAGGGATGGGGTAAGGGATTGAAGGAGCAGCAGCAGAGCCAGCAGAAGCAGAGACAGCAGCAGAGCACGAGTAAGAGCAAGGGAAGGAAGCGCAAGTCACGAGAGGAAGATGAGGATGAGGGGGATGGGAGCGAGGACGCAGAGGACGAGAAGAAGGATTGCGACGACATGGAAGAGCATGCAAACTCTGCTGCTGCTGCTGCTGCTGCTGCTGCTGCTGCTGCTGCGTATGGTGCGCTATGGATCAAGATTCCCGGGACTAGCTGGGATGCAAAGGACTGTGAGAACCAGACGAACCTCAGATATAACACGAGTCTGTTGCACAGTGCCATTGCAGGGCTGCCTGTGCGCGTGGTGCTGGAGGGGGAGTGGCAGGGGCGACGGACGGACGCTCAGCACCACCATGAAGCAGCAGGCAGCAGTTCCAAACAGCGGCAGCAGCAGCAGCAGCAGCAACAGAAGCAGCAATGGCAGCTGCGCAACACAAGAGCCCGAAGGAGCCGAACAGACGGCGGTGCTGCTGCTGCTGCTGCTGTGGCGTCTAGTGCAGGCGAGAAAGCAGAGGAAGTGAAGTGTAACTTCATGTATGCGGGCCTGTACCACGTGGCGCGAGTGGAGCTGGGCAAGGCTGACAAGGGCAAGGTTGGCAAGGGTGAACGTGAACCTGCTTCTGGGTCGACTCGAAAGCGAGCGGACGCGGGCAAGGTTGACAAGGGTGCAACTGCTTCTGAGTCGACTCAAAAGCGAGGGGAGGCGGGCAAGGACGACAAGGATGACAAGGTACCGGAGCCAGAGCTCCAATACCTGCTGCTGAAGCTGCCTGGGCAGGGAGGTGGTGCGGGTGCGGCAGGTGGTGGTGACGAGGGGGATGAGGAGGAGGAAGAGGAAGAGGATGAGGATGGGGAGAGGCAGGAGGAGGGTGAGGAGGGGGGTGACAGTGGAGAGGAGGAAGAGGAGAAAGACAGTGAGAGTGAGGTGCAGAGGGGGAAGAAGCGGCATTGGGGAAAAGGAGGAGGAGGAGAGAGAGGAGGAGCAGCAGCAGCGCAAGCAACACGTGGCGACGATGTGGGGAATGTGGTGTGGGTGGAAGAGGAGGAGGAAGAAGAGAAAAGGTCGTGGATGGTGGTGGGGTGCGATGGGCGGGTGCACTGCGCTGTGAGCCGGCAGGTGGTGGAGAAGATGAAGGAGGGCGAGGACGGCAGGTCTCTGCTTAACATGGCTTGTCAGCTGAGGGTGGCCGTGCACGAAGGGATGGCGCGGAGCGGAGGGACGGGGGAGAGAGGAGGGAAGGGCGGGAGTAGAGGGAAAAGGGGGAGAGGAGGGAACGGGGGGAGTGGAGGGAACGGGGTGAGAGGAGGGAACGGGGATGAGGGAAGAGGGAAGGGCATTGGGGGAGAGTGTGGTGCGAGGAGGGGAGGAGCTGGGGTGATAGGCAGTGGAAGACGGGAGCGGGCGGGTGGACAGGGGAGGGCGGGGTGGCAAGAGGAGGGAGGAGCGGGGGAGATGGGTGTTGGTGGTGGTGATTGGGATAGTGCAGCTGTTGGGGGTGCGAGGGGTGGGGGGAGTGGAGTGGGTGGTGGTAGTGGGATTGGGGCAGGAAATGAGTCAGGGGGAGGGGCGTTGGGAGAAGATGGGATGATGAGCGGCATGCATTGGCGGGGTACGCAGGGAGAGGAGGGAGAGAAGAGCAATGAGAGAGCAGAGGGATTGGAGAATAAGGAGTTAGACGGAGCAGAGGGCGACGAGGACGGTAAGAGAACGGATCAAGTGGAAGACGATGAGGAGGAAGGAGGCAGCAGTGACTGCAATGGGGAAAGCAGTGCGAGTGAGAGTGAGAGTGAGGATGAGAGTGAGAGTGAGGAGGAGCTTTTGGGGACAACGAGGAGAGCAAAGGGTGCAAAGGGTTTGGAGCTGGTACCCAAGGACGACACTGCAGGACTGGGAGATGATGCCGCTGCTGCTGCTGCTGCTGCTGCTGCTGCTGCTGCTGCCATACCGTTGCCAGGGCCGTCCAACGCTGGTAGCATTGTTGTGTCGGGGCTAGCTTTTCCTGATGAGGTCGAGAAAGAGGAGGAGGAGGAGGAGGAGGAGGAGGAGGAGGAGGAGGAGGAGGAGGAGGAGGAGGAGGAGG